GCATATTTGCATAGATTCAAAAAAGACAATTTTTTAATTACAATATTTTTTCCTTCATTCATCGATATCAATTTTTCACCAATGAGAGATCGATAAAACTTAACTGATTTTCTATTGATAATGTCTTTTATTCCCTTTTCGAATGAGTTCAACTCAAGTTCAAAAGTCTACAGCTTAGCTCTAGTTTGATACTCGAATAGATTCTTGTAATTTTTTGAATTTATCATTTTTCTTGTAAAAAAAAGTTTTTGACTCAGACCTTGATACCTTCTCCAACTAAGTTTTCCTAAAAAGTTTTGATAATATTGTTTTTTTTTGTTATTATATTTGTTCCAATTTGGTCAGGATCATTTATTATTCCCCCTGTAAATCGTCCTTTAACTCCATCAATATCGGCCCCGTCTCCCCTCTTCATCCCTCCTCCCCCTCCATCTATTTCCCCCTTGATGCAGCTATCTTACCATCCGGCCCTTCCAATTCATTAGGTTGTTTCTCAGCTCCCTGAAGGTCATATAGAGCTCCCTAAAAGTCTGGAGGAAAATGGTAAATTTTGTTGTAAACCCTGTAACTGTTATATATGGTGCACCGGAAATACAGATATTTTTATAGAGTACTAGACTATCAAACACACACTGTGCTCTCCAAACTTTCTTCAAACTATTTTACCAAAAGTAAACAATAAATAAATATATCTGGCTATATCTGAACTGATGTTCCACACTGGCGATCCAATCAGGGTTTACTCGCGTGTTTGGTGAGTACTCAGGACCAATAAAATTGCAAAGACGGTAAAATCTATCTATCTATCTGTCTAGTCAAGTCTTATAATCTAATAAGAGATCAATATGTAAATTAGCGGCAACTACTTAATGGAATTCTTTTTTCTTTCGAAATCTTAAAGGTGAGCTTTATAAAGAAGTTCCTTTGTACTTTACCCAAGGTTGTATAATAAGGTTAGTTACTCTCGATGCGGTCCAATGTGCGGAAAATGTTGTCTCCTAAGATAGAAAGAAAAAAACCTAATATGACGTCACTCTCGCCTCTATAATCAGTGACGTCTATATAGATAATGTTGACAGTGCAACCAATATTAACGTTTTCCTTCTTTTTCTAATTTTACTTAAGATTTTTGCTTTGCTGGAGAACTTTTCCTAATTGATATATTTTAGCCAAACTTTTTCCCTTTAGTTTGACATCAATGGTTTCCAGAGAACTACCACAGAGCCCAAAACTTAAATCAGGGTATCGTCATGAAACCCAGTATCGGAAACCAGTTTTCAATGGGGTTAGGCAATTTTGTAGATATCAATATATTTTTTTTAGAAATATTATTTTTCATGGTTAGTTTTATTTTCTCTCTTTATTTCTACTTCTTTATGAAAATCTACACAAATACCCCAAAAAGGAAACATGACAGAGTTTATTTTCAGACAGCCTGACATACAAGATATATTTGCCAGACATACAAGATATATTTGCCTGACATACAAGATATATTTGCTAGACATACAAGATATATTTGCCAGAAATACAAGATATATTTGCCAGACATAAAAGATATATTTTCCAGACATACAAGATATATTTGCCAGACATAAAAGATATATTTGCCAGACATACAAGATATATTTGCAAGACATACAAGATATATTTGCCAGACATACAAGATATATTTGCAAGACATACAAGATATATTTGTAAGACATACAAGATATATTTGCCAGACATACAAGATATATTTGCCAGACATACAAGATATATTTGCCAGACATACAAGATATATTTTCCAGACATACAAGATATATTTGCCAGACATACAAGATATATTTACCAGACATACAAGATATATTTTCCAGACATACAAGATATATTTGCCAGACATAGAAGATATATTTGCCAGACACACAAGATATATTTGACAGACATTCAAGATATATTTGCCAGACATACAAGATATATTTGCCAGCCATACAAGATATATTTTCCAGACATACAAGATATATTTGCCTGACATACAAAGTATATTTGCCAGACATACTAGATATATTTGCCAGACATACTAGAAATATTTGATAGACATACAAGATATATTTGCCAGAAATACAAGATATATTTGCCAGACATACAAAATATATTTGACAGACATACAAGATATATTTGACAGACATACAAGATATATTTGCCAGACATACAAGATATATTTGCCAGACATACAAGATATATTTACCAGACATACAAGATATATTTCCCAGACATACAAAGTATATTTGCCAGACATACTAGATATATTTGCCAGACATACTAGAAATATTTGATAGACATACAAGATATATTTAACAGACATACAAGATATATTTGTCAGACATACAAAATATATTTGCCAGACATACAAGATATATTTGCCAGACATACAAGATATATTTGCCAGACATACAAGATATATTTGCAAGACATACGAGATATATTTGCCAGGCATACAAGATATATTTGCCAGACATACAAGATACATTTGTCTGACATACAAGATATATTTTCCGATTCAGAATTCACAATAACACAAATTAAACTTGACGTATTGAAAGATTGAGGTTAATGCCGTATAGTTTCTGTCTGAAAGTGGATCAAGCCGTTTTCTTGCTGGTCTTTGCTGTGATCATTTGCGTGAACAAACGCACATTAAAAAACTTTTCCTTTAATCCATAATCCATTGCCAGCGTCCTGCTGTCTTAATAAAAATAAATAAAAATAAAAATAATTACTTTTTTTGAAAATCTTTTTATGTTATCAAACGTTTTTTTCCCAATACTATAATTTATTTATAGAAGTCGTTTAAATTGAAATTTTTTATAATATTGTGCAGAGATTGAGGGGGAGTGGAGAAGGGTAATACAGTTTATTTTATAATGAAAGTTACAAGGCAATTAACTGTACTAAACCAAGTCAACCCAAACTAAACCAAGTCAACCCAATCCAAANAATGCCAACAAGGCAATATCTCAACCAGGCTTAACTCCCCGGTTCTAAAGGACACACAGTCCAAGTTTCAACCAGGATTAACTCCCTGGTCCTCAAGGACACACAGTCCAATGAAATTGCTACACTGGCAATTTATCAACCAGGATTAACTCCCTGGTTCTAAAGGACACACACTTCAAGTTTCAACCAGGATTAACTCCCTAGTTCTAAAGGACACACAGTCCAATGAAATTGCTTTCAGGCAATTTCTCAACTCGTATAATTCAATGACTACAAAAAGCTTTATTTTCAAGCTTACTATAGCTTCAATGCTAAACCAACTAGCAAAGATCTCCGCTTGTATGTTAAAGAGATATAACGCAGATAATTTATATCTGCCCATATTTTATAATATAATTTAAGTATGTCGCATGATTTGAGTTAATCGTGTTAAGTATTCTATTAAAACATAGTTTCTCGCTTTTTGCAACAGAACCCGTCATAGATTGTCGTAAAACCTATCAAAAGTCTAAAAACATTAAAAGTTCGTGTAAAACGAATCTAGCTATTGCCCATCGCTACATCCAACCCATCTACTCCTCTCACTCTCCACTCCCCCTCCCCCTCCCCCTCCCCCAATGCCTAGAATTCCCTTGACATATTATAGATTACCACTTTCTTGAACCGTAAATATATAATATTTGTATTATTATCAGATGTGTTCCATATTCTTAGAGATTAAACGGATAGATAATAGGGACTGTATTTGTAATACAAATGGCCTCCGTTCAAAGAGAATAATGCCTTATTTACGATGGTACCCTTAAACCTTTAGACGATCAATATTGTGGAAGATATTGTTGTCTTTTTATAGCTTGAAAAGTATTAATTCTGATTATTTCACTTTCCTCTCTCCTGAGCCGGCGATTTAAAAAGTTTAAGAAAATACGACTCGGGTCTAAGCTGTTCTTGAGCCTTTATATACGGCTTGGGCTTTCGGATTTAAGTTGCATCTATTTTTCAACAGAATTTAGTTCATAAAACCGGTTTAACGTTGTATTTGGGGGATTGTCATAGTTTGAATTGGCGCATTCCGGGTTTTGATGAGAATAAGACCCAACCTTGAGCCTTATTCTTCACTAAAACCAACCAAGGTCGGTTTTATTTTCATTGGGCTTAACTCCTTAATTCGAGCCTAAGATCTCGCAGCTGTCAATCACATGAAACAAGCTGCAAGAAATGTGCAAGTAATTTCACATATAATCGGTTATAAAGAATATCAACATGGACATCTAATTAGTCAGATCATACAAAACTTTTTTGGTACAATTGTGAATCAGACAAACCATTCTATAAATGGAGGGCCACTTTTCATTACGTCTACAGCAATTCTATAAATGGAGGGTCACTTTTTATAACGTTTATAGCGATTCTATAAATGGAGGGTCACTTTTTATAATGTTTACAGCGATTTTTTGAATGGAGGGTCACTTTTAATTACGTTTACAGCAATTCTATAAATCGAGGGTCACTTTTAATTACGTTTACAGCAATACTATAAATGGAGGGTCACTTTTTATTACGTATATATTGATCAATAAATAAAAAAGAGAGGACTTAAAATAAGTCAACATTCCCTTTAATAAAATTTGTTCTATCCATTTTCTTTGGAATTGCAAAAATATGGCGAAATCTGGAATTCGTTTTATGGATTTTCCATAAAACTATCGCATGCAATCTTATAACAATCTATTTAGAATCAAACTTCTAATTTCTGAAATTATTTAACATTCAGGGACATCATTTTGAAGTTTTAAAAGACAGAAAAATTAAACAAATCACAAAAAAAGATATTTAAGGTTATCATGATACCGCTGTTTCAGATCTTTATTTGAAATCTAAAAAATGTTATAAATGCATAGAATAAGGGGAATTAAATGCAAGCAAAGTTATATATTGCATATTTTTCATCAAAGTAAAAAAATCAATACAAATAATTTTTTATTCTAGTTGTTATCTGAAAATTAAAAAATGTTCTTTTTCAGATAACTTTCAACTGAAACAAAGCAGAAGTAGGTTCCTCAGAGAACGCCCCTGAAGTTGAGAGGATAGGACCCCTGCTGCATGATTAAACTGTATCGCCTCTGAACACCTAGAATAAGATCCAATGACGCCCCTGCTCACAAGGGTGGACGAATACGCGGAGGTATTCAAAATATTGATAATAGAAATAATTAAAATAATGATAATAATAATAATTAAAAATAATTATAATAAAATAATCAAAATAATGATAACTATGATGATTAAATAATGATAATAATAAACATCGAAATAATGATAACAATAATAAATTAAATAATGATAATAATAATACCAAAAATAATGATAATAATCTGTTATCTGTTATATAATTTTAAAAAAGATGATGATAGATTAAGATATTTATTTACTATGTTTACAAAGTAGTAATCTTTGTTGTTAACGATTTGCACACATTTTGATTAGGGGACTCGTTTCACCCACGGGAATGTTTTCAATTTAGGTTTGGTTGGTAAACTTTAATAGAAAAAACAAAATGTTTATGTTTTATTTTATTTTCCCTAAATCGGAAACCCAGCTTTGTCTGGAATCCAAGTTTTCTCTATGAAAGTCAACCAACTGATTTTAAATCAACATTTCTGTGATTCTTCCAAGTTCACCAATCAAATCTGTTAAGGGGGTCTCATATGAGTTATGAATAAGATCAGACATTTATATAAATATAGCTAAACTAGGCTTTCAGGGCGTTTCAAGCCACACCTTATATTTCAATTCTGAGCATTTTCTCTTTGTAAACATTATAAAATGATAATAAAAAAGTTCGCGGATTTTCAAAATTTACTGTAAATCGGATTTTGTTGGAGGCTAATTTTTGAAATTTTGATCATCCATAAACTTTCCTGGGGTCATGTCACTCACATGTGAGGTCACACACACAACTTGGTCCTGATAGGTTTAGCCGGTTTCACGTTTATTGGACACAAACAAACAGACAGGCAAACAAAATATGTATATTTAATAAGGTAGAATTTTTCGTTTTATACTAACGTGACAGCTGAATATACTTCTCCTTTGATATTTAATATTAATATGCTTGATATATGGAGAAAATTGTGTATTAGAATATTGATATATTCAGACCAAAATATACAATAAAATCAACATATTTCATATATTTATTAAATTTAATAAAGTTCAAAATATTACAATAAACCTCTCGTAGAAGATATGAAGTTTCGATACTTTTTTAAAAGATAAAATCCCTTTAGAGCGAAAATCAAATTTCACCATATAAACATTTTTTATTGATCCCTCACGAAAAACTAGCATATCCTTGTTGTACCCCTCACGCAAAACTATCATATCCTGGGTGTATCCCTCACGTAAAACTATATACTGGTTGTATCCCTCACGTAAAACTATCAAATCCTGGTTGTATCCCTCACGTAAAACTAACATAAACTGGTTGTATCCCTCACGTAAAACTAGCATATACTGGTTGTATCCCTCACGTAAAACTATCAAATCCTGGTTGTATCCCTCACGTAAAACTAACATAAACTGGTTGTTTCCCTCACGCAAAACTAGCATATACTGGTTCTATCCCTCATGTAAAACTAGCATAAACTGGTTGTTTCCCTCACGCAAAACTAGCATATCCTGATTGTATCCCTCACGAAAAACTAGCACGTCCTGGTTGTTTCGGAACAAACTCATTCAAAATGCATTTAGCAAAAAATAATAAGACGTAATTTTTAAGCATACACATATATAACCGAACCAAACTTTTAAAGCAAAATTGATGAGAATTTTGACAATTTATTCTAAAAACTAAAACCAAGAACATGTGCTTTTTGAGCTCTACAGATCTATAAAGTATTGAGATAGTGAGGTATATATGTACATAAGGCCAAGACGATACGACACTTCATGGTGAATCCAGTCTTTAAAATTAATGCAGCTTTTCAAAAGATCAAGGTGAGTTTATAAAAGAAAAAGCGTGAAAACGTATTCTAAAGATCCACAAATTCCTATAATCCCCCGTGTCCTATGTATAGAGTTTATCCCCTTACATGTTCTATCTTTGTGTCCCTGAAGGATATTATACCTGTATATACATACATATATGAATATCCTTTAAGCAGAATATATCCCTCCAATATATTCTTCTACTAGTCCATAGCTTTTACTTCAAGGGACAGTAAATCCAACAAGTTAGACCTCAGAAAAAAGTTACAAAAAATTAAAATATCTGATTTTGAAGCTTAATTAATAAAAATGTTTACAATCATGTCGTAAGATCTGATTGTTTAAATAATACTTTTCTCTGGACACCCTTTTGGGACTGGGGCTGAATATATATGCGTATATATATATATATATTCACATAGATAGTAACCCATTGAACCGTGAGATATTTTCAAATATTTTGGCATGTTTACATTTTCAAGATTTAACTCATGGTCTATTCAATACTAATACAAGGTTAGTTCAAACACAAGCTAGCTGGGGGAGAATTATTAAAAATTTCGAGTAGTTTTAAGTACTTCTAAAATAATGGCATATGGGCTGTTTAATATCATTTTGGGCTTACAGATAATGAAAACTGATAAAAACAAACACATTCATGACAGGTTTGATTGCGGATGATTAATCGATTGAAGTTCTAGTCCTAGCTGCATATTTTTATTCCTAGCTGCATAATTTTTTAGTTCTAGCTGCATATTTTTATAGTTCTAGCTGCATATTTTTATAGTTCTAGCTGCATATTTTTATGGTCCTAGCTGCATAATTCTATATTCCTAGCTGCATATTTTTATATTCCTTGCTGCATAATTCTATATTCCTAGCTGCATAATTCTGTATTCCTAGCTGCATAGTTCTATAGTCCTAGCTGCATAATTTTATATTTCTAGCTGCATAATTCTATATTCCTTGCTGCATAATTTTATATTCCTAGCTGCATAATTCTATATTCCTAGCTGCATAATTCTGTATTCCTAGCTGCATAGTTCTATATTCCTAGCTGCATAGTTCTATATTCCTAGCTGCATAATTTTATATTTCTAGCTGTATATTTTTATATTTTTAGCTGCATAATTCTATATTCCTAGCTGCATAATTTTATATTCCTAGCAGCATAATTTTATAGTCCTAGCTGCATAATTCTATATTCCTAGCTGCATAATTCTATATTCCTAGCTCCATAATTTTATATTCCTAGCTGTATAATTCTATATTCCTAGCTCCATAATTTTATATTCCTAGCTGTATAATTCTATATTTCTAGCTGCATAATTCTATATTCCTAGCTGCATATTTTTATAGTTCTAGCTGCATAATATTATATTCCTAGCAGCATAATTTTATAATCCTAGCTGCATAATTTTATATTCCTAGCTGCATCTGCATAATTTTATATTCCTAGCTGCATATTTTTATATTCCTAGCTGCATAATTCTATATTCCTAGCTGCATAATTTTACATTTCTAACTCCATAATTTTATAGAGATGAAAAATGATAATCAGGACGGTTTTCTGGTTCTCCAGTTTTGGCAAAATAAACTATGAATTCTCTAGAGACGAATATAAAGAATGAAGTTCAAACTGGTCAAGGACATGGTTTTTATTAATATTATCAAACTCAGTTGATACTGGGCCACGTCAAACTAAAGTGAAATTAAAATATTTTGTATTTTTTATCAGAACTCCTCTTTTCAAAATATTTTGAATTCATATTATGTAACCAAATAAATTTGTTTTTGCTACACTTATTCTTAAAATCAGAACTAAAGGAGTAACGGAGTCACAAAGTCTCAACAGTAATATCAATTGAAGTTGACTTACACCTTCAGTTTAGTTTTCAGTGAGGCCTGGAGCCGAAATTAAAGAATTTGAGCCGCGACTTAAACTTAAAACGCGACGCAAATATGTAGTTGGTTACACTTAAAATTGTATTGAATGTTTTGAGATTTAACCCGGCACTCAATTGAAACAGGTTTTATGCGGATTTAAGACGCGGCTTTAACTTATTAAATTCGGACTCCAGCGGGCTACTATCCGTTAACGATGACATCTATTCATGTTTACACCGAATCCATATGTGACATAAAAAGCATTTAAGATTTCACAATATTATCTTGGTCATTCTTAAACCTTTAAAATGAATTAGTTGTATATACCAAATAAAAAAAAAATGTTTAATTGATTTAACTATTGGATGACCGTAGGTATAAATAAAAGTGTGGCCAGGGGCATAGTGGAGGTTTAGCCTACGGGGTTGACTTTTTTTGTGCATTCCCCTAAAAAAACCGTATTAAGAAAAAAAAATTAAAGCTTAAAATCTATATTAATCTACTTTACTATTAGGCATCTGACCATAATTACCAATCATACCATTATAAAAATTATAAAATCTAGCATAGTAAAAGAGCAAAAAACTTTTTAAAAATATATTTTATTTTTTTGAGTATATCATATATCATAAATCATATTAATATCAATCATATTATCACTAGATTACTCCGGAGACAGTTTTATTTAAAGATTATTAACACTCTGCGTCAAAAATTTTGCTCTGAGAGACTGAAATGGATTTTAAATGAAACGCCGTGAAAAAAATATTGTAAATAAGATTAAGGTACAAGAAAGAATTTGAGAAATTATCATAAAATGGACAAATTGTGACATTGTCAAATGTCAATTGATAAGGAAAGAAAAAAATCTGAATATATATATGTAAGATTAATATATTAGAGCATGTCCAGGGGCTGCACAGGGGTACCGGCCCCCCACCCACTACGCCCCTGAGTGTCGAAACTTTAAAAATTTTGCATTTGCCCCTAGCTAATTTAGACTATGTGGTCTTCCCTTCAGACTAATCAGTCAGTTACGTATATACCCATTTTCACCCAAAAATGTAAATTACTTTTTTACCCATACGCTTTAAATGTCAGTATTTTACTTTAATTTTTGTATGGATTTTGAAAAAAAATCAGCTAATTTAAATCTTATCACACTTAGCTCTAATTTGAATCAACTCTCATGTAAGTGTAACCACATCTCCTATTTTTTGGGATCAAACTGTTATTTAGGAAAGCCCAACTTCTATTATTTAGGATATCCCAACTCCTTTTATTTAGGATACCCCAACTCCTATTATTTAGGAAACCCCATTTTCTATTATTTAGGATACCTCAACTCCTATTATTTAGGATACCCCAACTCCTATTATTTAGGAAACCCCAACTCCTATTATTTAGGATACCCCAACTCCTATTATTTAGGATACCCCAACTCCTACTATTTAGGATACCCCAACTCCTATGAAGAAGGGATATCCTAAAGGAGAAATCTACGAACACACTCCGAAGATGAACAGCAATGGAAAGAAGAACAGTCAAGATCATCTAGGTAAGGAAGTTTTGCACATTTACAGTGATAACCAAAAAATAATGGAATAGAAAGACGACATTATAGCAATACTTTAGTGTATTTGATGGTTTTAGTTGTTGCAGAGCAAACAGTTTTACTAAATACTTATCAAATCTGCACTATATAGGTGAAATGAGCCTAGGTTTATACTGATCAATTGCTGTGCTTAATGTTCATTGGCCGGGGGCTATTTAAAGTCATAACTTAGTCTAAAAGTCGCCTATTTATTCCGGAGTTTTCTGGTTCTCACTGTATTTATAGACACATATATATTGGATAGTATAATTCTTTTTTAATACAATGTGAAGTTTAAAAACTGAAATATATATATTTATATGTATAAACATTATTCTAAAGTTCAAAGGTAGGTATGTAAAAAACTTTTTTTTAAATTATCATTATTTAGGCTATATTTTCAGAATCTGTATAATTTAACAATTTACAAAATTTTGAATATTATTATTGCAAAATCCAGTTATTTAGTATTATTTGTGAAAACAAAATAAGTTATCATTTTCAGAATACCCTAGATCAAATATTATATTATGTAAATATCATAAAAACTAGTCAGGCAGTATGTCTCAGGAGTCAGGACTGAGGCAGAGGTTGTCTTAAATTGATAGGAAAAGTTTTAGGAAAATCAAAGAAATCTGAACTGCTTGAGTTATGTAAAGAAGACAGCAGAAAACACCCTTATAAAAAATAAAAAATTAAAAGTCTATTTCAGTAATGTAAACTTAAAAGCAGGATGAAATATGATTGCTTAAAGGGATCGAATGTAAGCGTAACTTCAAGTGGAAATTATAACTATGCCTGATTCACAGCGATACCCTCCCAACCCTTGTTCAGTAAAAATGGAAGATATTTTCGTTTTTCTAGGTTTTAAAGTGTTTAATTCTGATTTTTGCTACACGTTTTCCTGCAGTAGAAATTCGCAAACCATTGGTTCAAAATTATAAACATTGATATATATTTCATAATTTAGTAGACCAAACTTAAAGGGTACCGTTGCAAATTGGGCGTTGACATCTTTGCATAGAGGGTCAATAAACATTACGCGTACAGTCCCATTAAGGTTTGTTTGTTTACAAATTGTAATTAATCTCAATAAATAAATATTAATAATTAAATTATAAATTAATTGCAAATCTTATTCGAATCATAATCAATAATGTATTACATTTATAAAGTTTTATAATACTTTCACAGAACAATATAATTTAATCTAAATGTAAGCAGATATAGATTTATCCTACTTCACAAGAACCGCAGGGGGTATTTGAGGTATCACAAAAAATGAACCAATCGGATCCTTTGTTTTGACGGTTTTTAGGATCCAGACAAACAAACAAACAAATGATTTAAATAAAAAAGGACGAATGTAAAAAACAAACAATGATTATTTTAGACATTTTTTTTTCATTTTACACTTAAGTTTGACATTTTGTATGAAAGTAGGTTCGCTAAGATGGATAAGTTTATTATTCTGCCCTCACACCAAATATTGGTTTAACTATTGATGATCTTCTTCTTGATCTGATATTGACAACATTGCAGCCAAACCCTGATTAATGTTTTCAATATTTTACTGCTATTTTCATCAACAATATTCTTACGCAAACTTTTGATGTTAACTTTATAAAAAGCAAATTTAGAGCAGTTTTGAAAAACTTTGACCATTTTTTGGACAAATTTTAATAATTGTGAACAAATTTGAACATTTTTGGACAATTTGGAGCAGTTTTAAACAATTTTGAACTGTTTTAAACAATTTTGAATATTTTTGAACAATTTTATCGAGGTGAATTTTTGACAATATCCTTGTCTCCGCAAGAGAAACCGTAATTGTAAATAGTCCATTTTTAGCAATTAAAACTAGGATAACTCATTCAAATATCCATTATCAGAGAATCGGATATTCCACTCTGTAAAGGGAGAAATTATAAATTCCGAATAAATCCTTTAATATAATAAACTCTGAATAAACGTCCTGTTTTTCTTCCCAATTATTTTTTATTTCTCCTAGAATTGCCGGTTAGTAACTATCCCTATTATATCCTCTGAATGTACTTCCTCCCTGTCCTATGAGGAAGGGACCACCCAGCCGCCACGAGCCTCTCAGATTTGCCATACAGTTACAAGCCCTTGCTAATTGCTATACAGGATCATTTTTTTACTAAAACTTTTAATGGTTCTTTCACAGTAAAAAATAAATAATTAAAGAAATAATTCATATCTGAAACAGTTTTTTTAATCTTCGATTTAAGCGATAACTTTTTTTGGGAAATTGTTGAAATGTATATTATTCTATGCAACAAAAATTTTTCATAAAAAGATTTATCTAAAACCTCATATTTAAATCTATAAGATTATCCAGATCAAAGAAAGTCACTACGGAATTTATTCTCTTAATGTTGTAATTTTGCGTAGGAAAATTTTTAAAGTTTTAGTTTAAAATCATTTCAGTAGAGGCACAGTGACATATCAGGGATGCTCATGGCGGCGTGGGATGCCCTTCCTTCCTGTTCTGTGTATAGTAGAATTAGCGTTGACAATGGGCATTGGCCTTACACTATACAGGAATCTGGAATATATGTTTAGAACGTTTTTCTTCTTTTCTTTCCAGTCTCTCTCTTATTCAGGATATCCTGGCTAACAAGACTAACCTGGGCGGGAAACTTTAGAAAATATTATATCAAGCAAAACTGGGTTTGGAATTTTCTTATCTGGGGCCGGCTGCACTGTGTAAACATTCTTATTCTTAGGGAGTGATTATGAAAATTAAACGGGTCGTTTCTCCTAACCTTAAAATATTTGATTTTGTTATGATTAATTTTAACTTTTAAAAAACAATTAAAAAAATGTTTTTTTTTTATAATTTGGAATAATGGATGAAATATTACGGTCAAAATCTACATTACACTTGAAAATTTTTAAAATTGCTTAGTTTTGATATTTATTAGGCCTGAAATTTCAGTTGCTTGTAATTAAATGTAAAAGTAGAATCCTGTATTTATATAAACTAATTTCTTCTTATTAAAGGCACTGAAGGTTAGAGATTAACACAAGTTACCTTTTGTAGGTTCCCATCTATACCCTTTAAAGGGACTGTAAGGTTCCCATCTATACCCTTTAAAGGGACTGTAAGGTTCCCAACTATACCCTTTACAGGGACTGTAAGGTTCCCAACTATACCCTTTACAGGGACTGTAAGGTTCCCAACTATACCCTTTACAGGGACTGTAAGGTTCCCATCTATACCCTTTAAAGGGACTGTAAGGTTCCCAACTATACCCTTTACAGGGACTGTAAGTTACCGTTGTGACTCAGACATGCCTCTTTATAAATCAGGTTTCAGGGAAAACGAACTATTTTTTTTTCCAACGAAAGGGACTCACATTTTATATTATAATAATAAGATGAAGTACGCTCAGAGTGTGATTTATGACCTTGAAAATTATTAAAGGATTAGCCGAAATTAATGCTATATTAGCTCTTTGGTTTATACATAAATATATGCTTAAATATATTTATAAATATATTCTTAAATATATTCATAAATATATGCTTAAATATATACATAAATATATGTAGAAGAAGGAGGAATGCCTAATAAAAGTATAAATAAGTAATACATATATTAAGAAGGATTTAGATTGATCATACATTTATCATCTTCATGTTACATATACATCATGTTTCAAGTATAAAATCTGTGTTTATTTACCATGTGAGGAGGGACCAGGAATCTCAAGTTTAAAATCTGTGTTTATTTAGCATGTGAGGAGGGACCAGGAATCTCAAGTTTAAAATCTGTGTTTATTTAGCATGTGAGGAGGGACCAAGAATATATCCAAATGAACACGGAAATGTGAACACATATAAATTATAAAACTAATAACATGTAGATATAAAAAGAGCAAAATCATTCAAACATTTTTTTTATCGAGTTTTCTCTTCTTTTATAATTGTATAGCTAGCTGGAGGGTATATATCGGCTTTCTGTAATATACAGACGTTCTATAAAATTTATGTAATAATACTTGATTATAAAAAAATCATCATGCTAAAACGTTAAACGTTAAGTTGCTCTTGAGAGCAAAGAGAGGTAATTGAACTTCTTATAGTTAAAAATAAATAAAATACTCTTCTTCATAAATTCCTAACTCAGATAGGATTCTTGGTTAAACTTTCTAAACTGGAGAAGGATTAATTATTTGATCTGGTTAAACATTTCTTCTGGTTCATGTTACCAGAGCTGGGAACTTTAGAATGGATAACCTTTAATCTCGAATGCTTAATCCGAATATCCACTGTGGAAACTTTTAATTCTAGTCTGTAATCCACTCTTTTTCTCTCGCTTTAGATATCCGTAAATTGTATTGGCCAATGACAGCCTTGAAAATAAATTCTATCCAATGAGAGATCTCCGCAATTTCTAAGAATTTGTTGTTGGCCTTTTTGTAAATTAATCGGTAAAGAAAAATATGTAATAATACGTTAGATTCTTTTTAAACTATTTTTAACTAATGTTTTAATAAATAAATGGGTTGTAAATTAAGTGAAGGCCTTTCCAGTCAAGAAAACTAACAAATCTGGCGTTTGTTTGTTGTTGATCTAAATAATTAATCTGGAGATTAAGTTAGTCTCGAGATTAGTAAAAAGAGAGGATTAAGCATTAGTCCTGATATCCACCATTCTGAAGTTCCAGCTCAGGCTAGATTTTATCCGCTGATCATGATCTTAAAAAGTCAAAACTTTTTAGCTGTGAACTCTGGATCCAAGGACAGTTTCAGGGGGGGGGGGTAAATATTTTCTTACCTCCCCCCAATATTAATTTTAACCCCCCTTTGTACTCTTTTAAAAATATTTACCCCCCTCTAATGCTTTAAAGTTCTATTTACACCCCGAATCCTACTGAAATTACAGTTTATTTTACCTTTAAGCACAGGGTAGGCAAATTTTGAGAAATGACTTTGTAAAATATCAGGGGGGGGGTACACCCCCTAATTTTATTAGGGGGGGAGGGGGTAATGGACTGCAACCCCCCCCCCTGAAACCGCTAAGCCTGGATCAAGCAGTATCTGTAAATTGTTGATTTCTAAACAAAGTTGGCGTTAAAATTCATTGCGATATTGTCATTACCAAAAATCCGCTAAATTGTATCAATTAAATTAAGACTAAATTCAAACCTTAGGATGAAAAAACATACAGATTAATGCTTAATGTGAGATTTTTAACACAATTAAATTTTGACCCCATTTCCAACCTTTTTCATTAATTCATTCATATTGGATAGACAAATAGAGATCGATGGCTTAAATACTTAGCCAGCAACGTAGTTCAGCTATTAACACTATTTGGCCTGGTGGGGGGGGGGGGATGTAAATTTGACCCCCCTGTAATTTTTTATGCGATAACTCTAAAAGAATTTGAGCTAGGAAGCTCAAATTTTCTAGTTTTTCTATCTAATACATGCCCCTCAATTAAGGCTAAACGCTGGGCTTATATACCTACAGCCTGAGTCCTCAGGCATACTGCCTAAATGCCTTATTTTACCTATCTTTATTGAGACCTACTTCCAGTCATTAAATTTGAACATTTTATAGCTCTTTGGAAAGCCTATAACAAAAGCAAGCAGATTGCACAATTTTTCCAAAGAAATATTGAACAAGTTTTGCACAGACTCCTTTAAAGAGAATTTTTTTTCACTTTTGAATTCGCTGGGTTAAGGGCTTTGCAAAAATGTAAAATTTGATGCAATTTACGCAATTTTTTTGCACTTTTTTGCTTAATAACTAGATTTCGCAATACATATTTAGATTTTTGCAAATTTGCCTTTTTTCAGATTATTAAAGTAGAGCCAAAAAACTTATCAAATGTTACAGATTTGTAACACAATAAGAAAATAGAGGAGGAGGGGTCAATTTGACTCCCCCAGGCATGCAGCCAGTCAATAAACCAGTGTTCAGACTAAATAGGATTAGTTTGTAGTTGAATCGAAACTTGTTTAATTTCCTGCCCTCCAATTTGTTTTTGAAAAAAATCCTTATCTTCGCACACCAATTTTCATCTTGGACTGCAGTTTTTGAATAAAGTTCAAATTGAATCTCATTCATGAAATTCAAACTCTCTGATACTTAAATTGTCTAACAAAACTTTTAGATTTTATTGCGCATAATTACCGCTGTCCTTGGAATTCAAAGACAAGATATTGAATTTTTCATCCATCTTTTTAAGGGTGCCGTTGTGACTTGTAAATGCCATTCTATAAACAACAAGTTTAGTCTGTTTAATCTTGAAGATCTTAGTTTTTAGCATGTGAGGAGGGACCAGGAATCACAAGTATAAAATTTGTGTTTATTTAGCATGTGAGGAGGGACCAGGAATCTCAAGTATAAAATCTGTGTTTATTTAGCATGTGAGGAGGGACCAGGAATCACAAGCTTGAAATCTGTGTTTATTTCGCATGTGAGAAGGGACCGGGAATCACAAGTTTAAAATCTGTGTTTATTTAGTTTATTTAGCATGTGAGGAGGGACCAGAAATCACAAGTATGAAATCTTTGTTTATTTAGTTTATCTAGCATGTGAGGAGGGACCAGGAATCTTAAGTATAAAATCTGTGTTTATTTAGCATGTGAGAGGGGACCAGGAATCACAAGTATAAAATCTGTGTTTATTTACCATGTGAGGAGGGACCATGAATCTCAAGTTTAAAATCTGTGTTTATTTAGCATGTGAGGAGGGACCAGGAATCATAAGTATTAAATCTGTGTTTATTTAGCATGTGAGGTGGGACCAGGAATCTCAAGTATAAAATCTGTGTTTATTTAGCATGTGAGGAGGGACCAGGAATCACAAGTATTAAATCTGTGTTTATTTAGCATGTGAGGTGGGACCAGGAATCTCAAGTATAAAATCTGTGTTTATTTAGCATGTGAGGAGGGACCAGGAATCACAAGTATAAAATCTGTGTTTATTTAGCATGTAAGGAGGGACCAGGAATCTCAAGTATAAAATCTGTGTTTATTTAGCATGTGAAGAGGGACCAGGAATCTGTGCTCATCTTCTAACTCTCTTCTCGATGCTTCTTATTTTCCTTTCTCTTCCAATCTCTCTCTGCTTTGTAGTTAAAGTTGTACAGGTATATATTCTAGATATTATTATTTCTTGCCATAATTTGAATTTTTTTTATCAAACCCTGTTAATACAGATTAAATATTGTTGAACTACCCCTGAAAGGAAATAAAATAATTAAATGTGTGGAAAAACTGAACTGCAGTATACAGCTCTTTGTTCAATAATTATAGAGGCCGAATTTAAAGAATTTGAGCCGCGGTTAAAGTTAAGCCGAGGCTCAAATATGGTTGGTTCTACTTAAAATTAAATTCAATTTTTCAAGATTTAAGCCGGCGCTCATTTGAAACAGGTTTTTTTGGGGATTTGAGACAAGGCTTAAATTCATTAAATTCGGACACTGGCTATTTATATATAGAGATTTTTTGAATAAATCAGGTTTCAGGGAAAACGAACTATTTTTTTTTCCAACGAAAGGGACTCACATTTTATATTATAATAATAAGATGAAGTACGCTCAGAGTGTGATTTATGACCTTGAAAATTATTAAAGGATTAGCCGAAATTAATGCTATATTAGCTCTTTGGTTTATACATAAATATATGCTTAAATATATTTATAAATATATGCTTAAATATATTCATAAGTATATGCTTAAATATATACATAAATATATGTAGAAGAAGGAGGAATGCCTAATAAAAGTATAAATAAGTAATACATATATTAAGAAGGATTTAGATTGATCATACATTTATCATCTTCATGTTACATATACATCATGTTATCTCAACCAATACTGTATAGCCGGGGGGAGGGGGGGGGGCTAGGGGGTATATAACAATATCTAAAGTTATTATCACAATGTTTACAAAGTATGACCGCAAAAAATATATTGGTAAATTTGATTTGATTTTTTAAAATGTTCCTCTGTTAAAAACCGAAATCGAAGTTTTTCAACTAAACTCGAAGATCAATGTATTTGAGTTCTTGGCTCCTTTTGATTTAGAGGCGATAAATGTGCCACACACCATTTACTTTATAAATAATGTGAAGTGGGTGAACCAGGTATAGGGAGGAGTGCATAAAAACAACTTCTGAATAAGCAGAATTGAACTCCTTCACTTCACTACAACCACATGCTAGGTACACTAGACGGGCCGGTACTAGACCAGCATCATTGTACTGGTTCGTATCATGCAACTTTAGCCTGAAACATTTTTTGAAAGGCTTTTTTAAGGCATACAGCTTGTGAGGAAAGCTTTGTTGAAAAGATAAATATTCCTTGGTGCACCTAGTTTTCTAATATCAAGAATTCCGTAGTTTTTCTTTAGAATATATACTCATGTTTTTTTTAGAAAAATGATTATACAGTAATTACAACTAATTGAACTAATTACTTTAATCTAAAGTGTTTAATCTAATCAATTCTTGGTCTTAACACAATATGAGCTGGTTTTGTTAACAATCAAACTTTAAACAATTTCAATTGTAAGGAAAGGAAGAGCGCGAAATATTGAATATAGAAAAAGTGATTTAACTTAATACTTTATTTGGTGTATCACTATCAATACTATGGATTTAAATGTGCTAAAACTATTTTTTTAAAACTTCAAATGCGTTTTTCCAATTTGTCAAAATTATAATAGATATCCAATGATTTCAATTTCATAATATATTAAATAGTTTTGTTGATCTTGTTTTGTTTTCATTACTATTAATTAAAAGAATGCTTGTGTCTATAAAGAACCTGTTGTTCCTTTGCATTATTGTTCGTGGGGGGTCCCTTGGGTATTGTTTATTCCCTTCTCCCACCCTGCATTTACATAACAAGACAATACAGTCTCTTACTATTTATTGCACTGCACAGATTTCAAGAATAGACAACAATATATAATAATATATGATATTCAGTAAACAATCTTAGCTTGATAAACTACTAACATGATACAGAGCTCCACGATATAGTGAGATTAACGTAGTTTTGAATAAGACTATATATAATACTAGGCGTTTAGGGCGCTTCGCGCCCACTTCTTTATTAACAATTTTAGCTTTCAACTATCTAATCCCTGAAATCATCTGAAATATTGAGATCAGAGACACCTAGCGGCTAAATAATCTGAAATGTTAATTTGTATGGATACTACGCTTTTTGATTTCCAATGTAGATAATTTCATAATGGTAAAAGTAAAAGAATGCATTTAGGCTAATTGCCTGAGAATGCAGACAGTAGGTATTAAAGCCAAATTTATTAGCTTGTGCTTCTGAGAAGCAGGAACAGTAAGAATAAGCTCTGTTTTCCTTTTTTAATTTTGTTATTAAAATAATGTTTCGTTAACATCTGAAGCCCATTAATGATTTAGGAATACGAGAGAGCCGTTATCTTCCGTCTAGGACGTCTGCTGGCCGGCGGGGCTAGAGGTCCTGGTGTATTCTTTATAATACCCTGCGTTGATATCTACGAGAAGATTGATATGAGAACTCAAACATTTGACGTCCCCCCACAAGAGGTTAGAATTACATATTCTTGACAAAACAGATTTTTGCCGAAGACATTCTTTTTAGATCTTCAGAATCTTCATTCAATAAAAAATTTAAAAATATTTTTTTTTCTCTTGGTTTTTTAAATAGTCAAATAAATAGATTCCTTGATTTGGTTTAACTTAAATATCAAAAATAATTTTGAAAATACAGAAACAACCTTTAGAAGAATAGTTCAAAATATTTTTCAAATCGTAAAATTAGATTAATCTATTTATACCTTATGCATATTCTGCGATCCAAATATTTTTGTTATTCTATGTCAGTATTTCTTGAATTAAATAAATGAAAAGAAAATGAGATTTCTCGCTTGTTGCCAACCTGCTTGCTAGTGACTATACAGGGTAAAAAGAGACACTTCTTGAACGTTAACAACGATATCTGTGAATTAGACCTGTCAATATCTAAATTAAAGGACATTTTAAAGTACGTGCACAGTCCCTTTAATCTGTTTTAAGTTGTCTTTGAATCCAGATTATTATCTCTTTTATGAAACTATTGTGTACTTTATCATTCTCACTCACTTCATGGTGAATTTTATTATGAACGTGCCATAAAGTAATCATCGTGGCATAAAATTAGCCGTACATCTTAACAATAATTTTTTGATTGATTCCCGGATTTTCTCCAAAAAATATGGGATATTTCCAAAATATTTTTTTAATATAAATGAAAATAAAATTAAAATTAACCTTATATTTCATTTCTGCTTTCTTAAAAGCTTATTTTACCTAGAAATAGCCATTGCAATAAGTACACAAACGTTTCATAAATTTACCTTTAACACTATTATTTTGGCACGACGTGCTATAAAGTATTCGGACTTAAATTTCTCCGTATCTCGAAGGTTCTCGCCTTTTTAGATTTTATTATTTCCCTTGCTAAAGCTCGGGACAAAATAAAATCTAAAAAGGCTGGAACCTTCTCGATAAAGAGAAAAATGTTGTCCAAAAACTTTAAAACGTTTCGAGCCAATATAATAGTGTTATAAATAGTTAACTTTACCCTTCATTCAATTCAATTTTTCCTATTACAAGTTGTGTAATGCACCAATTTATAAAATATTTCAGAAATCCTAAAGTTTCATTACTTATGTTTTTATTAAAAAGAATTATAAAAATAATTTATAATAAATAATTTTTTTAAATTAGCATTTTTCTTTAACGACCCGTCAAGTTTGAGGATTTTGACCTAGACAAAGTTACATATCTTCGTGAATAAAATGCATTCAGCACTATTCGGCTTATTTTTTTTAAAACAAAAAAGCTACTCATAGGCGAATGCGAAGCCTGGGGCTCAATCACCATTCTTGACGGTAAGCGCTACATCCTTCCTCTTTAAATCAATCAACACATCGTCAAAACAGAATATATCAGATGTTTTTGACGATGCAATCCCAATCTCAATGTTTAAATAGATTATGAAATTATAAGAAATTGTGTGTGCTATTTGCTAATTTAATTGTTCCGTAGTTAATTTTTATTCTATTCCCTTTTAGAATTGTATGTGTATGTTTGTATTAGAACATATCATTCTCGTGGGGGTGAGGGGGGGGGGGGGTTAAAGCATTTATTGAAATACATACGAGAGTTTTGAAATAACATTTATTTTATATCAGTTGGTAGAGATGGACAAGTTCAAATTTTTTTCATTTCGTTCGTTCATTGTTCGTGAACGACCCATTTCGTTCGTTTTTTTCAATCATTCAAAAAATATTGATTTCGTTCGTTGTCAAAATTATCGTTCATATTCCATGTATTTTGTTTGTTTTCTCACTGGACGATCGTTCTATACAAACGTTCGTTCAACAAGAAAAACTATAGGTTTTTCAAAAATTTTATCGGAAAAATCGAACGCTCAGTAAAAAGCTATAAGTTTTTAAAAAGTTTGTTCCCAAAAATCGTTCATTCAGTAAAAAATCCATATTTTTTTCCAAGTCTTTAAATCTTTTGGAAAATTCTTTTATTCAGTAAAAAAACTAGTTTTTTCAAGATCGTTCAAACGATATTAAATCGTTCGTTTTAGTTTTCTTAATAGTTCGTTATTGAAAAAAAGATAATTTTTTCATTTCTCTGAATGTTCCATTTGTTTCGTTCAAAAACACGATACACATCTCAAGGTAGAGGTCGTTTTTGAAGCCCTTATGGCAAGAAAGTGTTAAACCGAAAATTAATACCAGCATGAAGACCTGCCAAAAAGCATTATCCTCTTTCTTGTCCTTCATCTTCTTAGAAGTCTGATCTTTCATTTCCATATTAGCGATTTGCTATTTTATCTGCTGTCTAAAAAAGTCTCAATTTATATTGCAGAACCTTTACATATTGCAATTATGAGATTCATGTTTGTGTAAGATATAATGTTTACGATACAACTTTTTAAATCATAATTTTGCAAATTAAAACCAAAATATATCATAACTATAAAAAATACACAATTTTTTTCCAATTTCATTGAAAGAATCAAATGCCTTTTTGAAGTCCAAACTCAAAATAAGCCATTTTTGTTACTCATAAGCCAGAGATAATAACTTTGATAACATCCTTTACGCATCTACAGGGTTACCCTCAGAGGATGAGACTTCAGAGACGATTCTACTGACTTTGTTTAATCCGTTTCTTGTTGTCAGGGTTCCTAGTAAGCCAAAATTGGCTTATTTCTTGGCTTGGACAATAAGCTAACCACCAAAACACTTTAATGAATTCAGAAATAAAAAATAAAGCTTAAAATCTTCACATTTTTAGAGGCTTAGGTCGTCTTTACAGTCTCATCCTTTGTGGATAACCCTGTATTTGAATAACAATCGTCGTTTTTCTCTCTAGAAAATTGTTTAATTTTTACAATTTCTCTCTAGTCTTTGCTGCGTAAAACAACTAGTAATTTCTACAGAGAAATCACAACTAAAATTAATCACTTTTCAGATAGAAAAAAAGTTTTAATCCTTTTTTAGACAAAGATTTAACAGGTTCGTTAGAAATTAGACCTTATCTGAATATAACTGAAGTTTTGAGCATGATGAAAACGTTTCAATCAAAAATACACAATTTCATGTCTTTTGAAGTTAATGCCTATCCAAGTAATTAGAAATTGCATGCACTTCAAATCTAGGTCATTTTAACCTTAAAGGGAGTGTAAGTGCAATTTCAAGTGACCTTCCATTTATAGAGTGATATGTCCGATCTACAACAGTATCCTTTAAACCTTGTTTTGATCAAGGATTTCAGAAGATATTCTTATTTATATATGGCGGGAAATTAAATGCCAAGAAACCGCGCAAGTGTACACTAGCACAGAGTAAACAGTGTACACTGTAACCTCTGTGCTAGTGTACACTAGTCTCCCTGCACTCTATCTTCATCTTTACAAATGAGGGTGTCTACCTCATCATTGTCCGGACAAAGGTTTAAAGGTTACCGTTGTGACTCAGACATGCCTCTTTATAAATGAAAGGTCACTTGAAATAACACTTACAGTCCCTTTAAGGTTATATTCAATGTAATGTTACGAAAGAGCACGATTACTACATTATATGTCAAGTAAACTAAATAATGTCAACTATACTACAATGAGCTTAAGTGTGGGATGAAAAATTGCAATAAATTAGGACTGTTTTTTTTTAAAATTAGATTTTAAACTGTATTTCCACTGTCAAAAACAGGAATTTCTCATAAAAAACTAATACATTTATTTTACCGTAATGCATTTTTTTGTTCAATTGAACGTGATTGTTAAATCTGATATTAGTCCAATTGATATAGCGTCGTATATGTATTTGTTATCAAACGTAACCTTAACACAGAGGATTATGAATAAAATAAAAAGTGTGTACATCAGATACACAGATCAAGCGAAAGGGGTTAAAGTTTTCAGCTCTAGCTGCATAAATAGAAGGACTAGAAATAAGATTAAGAGGGAAGTTTTAGGAATACATAAACTAGATATTCATGGAGTTAGGAATACATAAACTAGATATTCATGGAGTTAGGAATACATAAACTAGATATTCATGGAGTTTCGAATACATAAAATATATATTCAAAGGAGTCAGGACTACATAAAATAGATATTTATGGAGTTTCGAATACATAAAATATGTATTCAGGGAGTAAGGAATATATAAGCTAGATATTCATGGAGTTAGGAATTCATAAACTAGATATGTACGGAGTTAGGAATAAATAAGCTAGATATTCATGGAGTTAGGAATACATAAAATAGATATTCATTGAGTCAGGAATACATAAACTAGATATGCGCGGAGATAGGAATACATAACCTAGATATTCACGGAGTTAGGAATACATAAAATAGATATTCACGGAGTTAGGAATACATAAAATAGATATTCACGGAGTTAGGAATAAATAACCTAGATATTCACGGAGTTAGGAATAAATAAGCTAGATATTCATGGAGTTAGGAATAAATAACCTAGATATTCACGGAGTTAGGAGTAAATAAGCTAGATATTCATGGAGTTAGGAATACATAAACTAGATATTCACGGAGTTAGGAATACTTTTAAGAACTGTGTTGGAAGTTTGAAACCCGTTTGCTAGTTTTCGGTTCTTTTTTTTAAGCTTGAATCATTTAGATTAAGATTTAATTAAGATGTCATACGAGAAAAGCTTTATATTTAAATGAAAGTTAAAAAAACATTTCATGTAAAAAGAAAGATCATGTTTGCTTGTGTATAGAATTGAAAATATTTAAAGTTAAACGCTCATGGAATAAATTTCTTCCGAAATAAACCCGCTTGCAGCCCAGGGACCATAAAGAGAAATAACACTGTTATCAAGTCTAGGAACCATGAAGGGATCCACCTCTTTCATTCAGTCTAGAGACCATAATGGGACCCAACTCTTTTATCTCGTCTAGGCACAATAAAGAAAAATAACACTTTCAGAAATCGACTAGGGACATTTTAAATTCGATCACATAGAGCCAATTAAATAAATTGAGTCAACCCTCTCCCTCCCTGAAGCTTTAGTTAATTCTTCAGTCGCTCTTGAAAGTAATAAATAATAATGAGGGAACTTCAAATATTCTGCGCATTGCGCAACATACTTTTATATCATTAATAATTTTCAGCTTTTCACCTGAATAACCTGCATAAGAGAGTAAACTCTTTTATTTTTTCTAAATTTAGATTGATGTTTTCTTTTTGTTTAGATTCTGACCAAGGACAGTGTTACGGTGTTTGTCAACGCAATCATGTACTACAAGGTTGAATATAAATTAATAATATGTAATTAATTAATAAATAAATAACAATAATACCAATACTGATAAAACAATTACGGTGTTTGTCAACGCAATCATGTACTACAAGGTTAAATATAAATTAATAATATGTAATTAATTAATAAATGAATGATGGTAAAAATAATAACAATAATACCAATACTGATAAAACAATTATGTTATCAAATTTAAAGCCGTTCAAATTATTTAATAATGTTAAAAACTAAAATAATTATGCCAATAATGATAAAAATAATTATATTCTTATAGTTTAAGCCCTTCAAATTATTGAAATTAAATTTCTAAAAAAAATAGTTAAAATGCGCCAACTTTGCTTTGTCTGGTTTGTAAAATTATTTGGTTTGTATTTAGGTGAAAGATGCAACATCAGCTGTTACCAATGTAGACGACTACAGTGGATCTGCCAGGTCATTTTTTCAGACATAATAAAAAGAAAAAAAAAATGGGGTGGGCCAATGCATGTCGTTAATCTGTTAGGACGGTAATAGGAGTCAGTTCATGTTCGAATTCAATTTGACCCCATGTACCCTGGTCCTACATGTACCCTGGTCCTACATGGACCCTGGTCCTACATGGACCCGGTCCTACATGGACCCGGTCCTACATGGACCCTGGTCCTACATGGACCCTGGTCCTACATGGACCTTGGTCCTACATGGACCCTGGTCCTACATGGACCCGGTCCTACATGGACCCTGGTCCTACATGGACCCTGGTCCTACATGGACCCTGGTCCTACATGGACATTGGTCCTACATGGACCTTGGTCTTACATCACATTAAAAAAATCATTAACAGCACAGCCGTTAAGGGTTTATTACAGTATTAACGGTGTTAACGGCGAAAAAAATTTCGTTTAAGGTTTATAAACACATTTAAAAACATCAAAACGCATAAAATAAATTTTTTTTTTTAATGTCATGTAATTTTAATCAAAAAATAACGAAATTTATCGTTTTTAGCTTTTAAGTTAACGCTTATAACGGTTAATTTTTTTCTTCAAATACGGCTAATTTGTTTTGTTCAAGATTTAAAAATTTATATAATTATATATGAAAGTATATATATAATCGTAAAAGTTTTAGAAAACATCTCTTATGATATTTGCAAAAAATTGCATTTAATGAAAGACTTTATTAAAACACTCTAAGATGTTATTATTTTTTTATACATTGTTATAAAAATTGTATTATTTGACTGCAAGAGTAAGAATATCATAAATATTATAAACTGAGGCTACTTAAAGTCTCAATTTATATCTGATTCTTAAAAATAAAACCCCAAAAATTTGTTAAAAAATTATTTTTTTATTATAAAGGTTACTTGCTGCAACAACTCTACGTAACGTTCTGGGAACCAAGAACCTGGGAGATATTCTTTCAGAACGAGAATCGATAGCTCAGGAAATGCAGGTTTGTTTTCCACTTTATCTTCAGGAAATTTAGGTTTTTTAAAAATTTAATCTCCAGGAAATGTAGGTTTGTTTTCAACTTACTCTTCAGGAAATTTAGGTTTGTTTTCAAACTTATTGAAATGAGAGTTGTTTCTCAGTTTTTTTAGAGTAGCCTAATAAAGAATCTATCTATATATATCCATGTAATATAAATAAATAGTATATAATATATATGTATATATACCGATCTATCTTGATAAATGTAGAGTCTGGGTACTAGTTTAGGAGTAGTGGGAGGGATGCCCATTACTGTAATCTGGGAGATATAATCTTTTTACATGCATTAACTTTTACTTTCCATATCCACCCCTCACATATATCTTCCCATTTCCATACAGCTAGTTTACCTCTACCCCCCACACATATATCTTCCCATTCCCATACAGCTAGTTTACCTCTACCCCCCTCATATATATCTTCCCTTTTCCATACAGCAAGTTTACCTCTACCCCCCTCACATATATCTTCCCATTCCCATACACCTAGTTTACCTCTACCTCTACCTCACATATATCTTCCCATTCTCATACAGCTAGTTTACCTCTACCCCCCTCACATATATCTTCCCATTCCCATACACCTAGTTTACCTCTACCTCTACCTCACATATATCTTCCCATTCTCATACAGCTAGTTTACCTCTACCCCCCACACATATATCTTCCCATTTCCATACACCTAGTTTACCTTTACCCCCATCACATATATCTGTCCATTCCCATACACCTAGTTTACCTCTCCCCCTCACATATATCTTCCCATTTCCATACAGCTAGTTTACCTCTACCCCCAACACATATATCTGTAATAAATCTAGGTCCTGAGATTACGCTACTCAAAGTCTAATTATAGTCTTACTGACTCTATCTCTAGCCAAAACTCAAGGCTCTCCGCTCTAGCCAAAACTCAAGGCTCTCCACTCTAGCCAAAACTCAAGGCTCTATATTCGTCCGTATAATACAAAGGTTCATGTAGTACTAAATTTATTTATATACAGGTAAATCAGGCTGACCGGATCGGCCGGTCAGAGCAACATTGAAAAAGATAAGACATATATTGATAACATAGATAATAAAGATCGTGATAAGCATTACAACAGAAAATGCTACATATTTTCCCATTCCCAGACAGCTAGTTTACCTCTACCCCCCACACATATATCTTCCCATTCCCATACAGCTAGTTTTCCTCTACCCCCTCACATACATCGTCCCATTCCCATACAGCTAGTTTTCCTCTAATCCCCCCCCCAGGAAAGGGTTAAAAGTTACTGCAATAAAAAGAAGGGTTGAGAGGATTAATGCTATGAAATCTAGTGTACACACTCTACACAGTAAATACAGATTAAACTGGTTTTAATATTCCCGCACTGCCAAAATCCGAACATAACACTTATATTTATAGTCGCGGGAGCTATTAGATTCATTAGATAAACCATAGGGGTTAAATGGAGTGCTAGATGTTGAAATGTAAAATTATTATTTTTTCTATGAAACTGAACCTTTAACATTTCAAATTCTGTGTTCTATTGTTTACTATTATTGTAATAAATTGTATATGTTTTTGTTCAACATGGTACTATTATTCATGTAAAACATGGTATATAGCATTGTTATTCTTTTATTGAAATGGTATATTTGTTCTAGGTAACATTGTTCATGTAATTGTTGAACATGTTAACATTGTTCATATAATTTTTAGACAAGGTGAAATTGTCAATTATTGTTGAACATTGTTCACATTATTGTTCAATATTGTAACATTGTTCATGTCATTTTTAACCATGGTAACACTGTTCACATTATTGTTTAATAGGGTAACATTGTTCATATAATTGTTAACTATGGTAACATTAATCATGTCAACCAAATAGATTCTAGTACAAAAGATTGCAACGTAGAGATTGTTAACTCTCAGTACAGTTGTATTCTTACGTCACAAGTGTCAACTCAGTTTTTGTGTCCGACAAAATTAATAATAATAGTTTTAGAATAAAGTGCTTATCTTACAGTAAAATAAGTGCAATTTTATGTGTTCTTTATTTTCTTTTTTTACGCTATATTATTGAATCTTGGAAAACTGTGAACAGTTTAGGGGATTATAAAAACTATGGGGGGGATTGAATACCCCCCCCCCCATCATCGTAGGGTTACAGGTTCAAGGAGTACTGTTGTGAATTGTGAAATAACGCTAAAAAACTCCTTTACATTACCCAAAATAATTGTCTTTTTTATATTTGCATTTAAATACTATAACTGACCCAACCATAACAGTATAATAACAAGTAAATTGTGGAAACGTTAATCATGCTAATAATAATACTGCAATGCATCAAAATAGTAATAATAGTTTGCATTAAACAGTTTTAAAGCTTGACAAGGTGTAATAACGTATTTAAATGTAAAGAACTGATGCAGTAGATATCTAATAGGACTTCTGTTCGAATAAATACAACAGTATTAAAAGGAATGACCATAAAATGTAGAGAATAAGATCACAACCCAGAATAAAAGAGCAATTTAACATCCCGGCCAGAATTCTAATATTCTAAAACAGAACACTATAGGGATCAATAAATTCAATACATTTCACACTATTTTATCCGTTTAAGAACTAAATATTCTTAAGAAAACCAGAGGACAGAACTTTTGTGTATTCAGACTGTGCTCTGATATGATAATATGTTAGGGTTTCAAATGCAAGAGGATCTGGCTTGCACGCAAATGCGGGCTCTGTAATTTCCACGCAATTCCGAGCAGTATGAGAACAATTGCGCGCAACGGAACTCTGATTGAAAACCATATATGTATCCTTAGTTATTATCATATAAAGGCTGTACTTTATATTACACCCCCCTCTCGTTTTTTAGACGGCAGTCCCTCCTTTTAATTTGAAAGCTGTTATTAATTTGGTATTTGATCTATAATTTCCCTTCTCGGGTTTACTGAGTTATCATGCTAAAATGTGTCAATCTTTGTTTAAATTTATATTTCCTTTTCTCAAAAAGCGGAGATATGCTTCACATATTTTTGTTTGTTTAGTCCACCCTTGATGAAGCTACAGATCCTTGGGGAGTTCAGGTAGAGAGGGTAGAAGTAAAGGATGTTCGTGTTCCAGAGCAGCTTCAACGGGCCATGGCAGCAGAAGCTGAAGCAGCAAGAGAAGCTCGTGCAAAGGTCATAGCTGCAGAAGGAGAACATAAAGCTAGCAGAGCTCTGCGGCATGCAGCAGAAGTTATTGTAGACAGTCCAGCTGCATTACAGGTACAGTAAAGTACAGTACAGTACAGTACAATACAGCTGCATTATAGGTACAGTCATCGCCAAGTGGCAGAGCTGAGTTGGCGTGGAGCCATGCAAAATTGTAAATGTAGAATGAAGAATGTAAGACGTAAAAATTAACAAAACTTTTTATTAGAATTTTAACAAACTCAAACCACGAAAAGATTTTAAACTTGAAAAACTCTGGCTCTGAAAATTCTTGGAATTTCCAAATCAGAGTTTCCTGCTAACTTCAGTCCTGTCTGTCAATTAGTGGTCTTTTATTTTTGATTTCTTCTATTCCGGTGAAAACTGCTAAAAGCAAAAGTTCTCTCTGTCAAACTCCACACTGTTAGAAGAAATCATAATTTTGTGAGCTCCACCAGTCTACCACTCGAAATAATACATGCTTCACAACATTAACTTATCATTGGTTATAATGAGTTCTTAAAACTCGGATAGAAATGAAACTTTTGTGCCCTTTATCACTTATGCTAATTCCTAGTCAATTCAAGTTGAACTATTTAAATAATTTTCCTAACAAATTAGGATATTTCTAAAATATTTTTTTCTTTTTGAATAAAAATAGAAATGTATATAACTGTTTTTTGGTCAAAAAGATATAAGAAATAAATGGTCCATGTATCTAATTTAAAACAAATTTGAACCTACTATAAAAAGCAAAAATTTCTGTCAAAAAATTGATTAAATTGCAAACAAAAACTAAAGCGTTATAAATAATTATTATATTCATGTTAACAGAATAAACTTTTATAAAGAATTTCCAAATTTTTAATCAAATTTATTAAAATTCCATGAATCAAAATTAAAGTTTTTACAAAAAATTGATTTCAAATCAGATTTTAAAAATTATATTTTCCAAAGTAGAAACTCCCTTACTGTGCAATTTCCTAAGCGCAACTTCCCAAGTCCGTCCTAGCCAAAGCGCTTGGCCTGCTTAGCCCCTCATATCCGCAATCCTCGGCCCCCATACCAACATGCGGGCCTCAGAACGCCTGACCTAACCTTACGATGGTTGCCGTTTGGGAAATTTCCCAATTGAGAAATTGTCACATAGAATGTCGCACTTGAGTTGGGAAAATTCCCTAACACCAAATCTCTACAATGTAAAACCTCAATATCAAAAGTGAAAAGTTTAATCAATTCTATTTTTGAGATCTCTGATTGGTTTAGACAAGATACTATTTGCTTGCTGATTCTAAAACAGTATATCTTGTTTAGTTGAGATACCTGCAGACCTTGAACAGTATATCTTGTTTAGTTAAGATACCTGCAGACCTTGAACAGTATATCTTGTTTAGTTGAGATACCTGCAGACCTTGAACAGTATATCTTATTTAGTTGAGAAACCAGCAGACCTTGAACAGTATATCTTGTTTAGTTGAGATACCTGCAGACCTTGAACAGTATATCCGCTGAAAACAACAGTACAATCATATTCCCTGTTCCAATAGATATCTTGTCTCACCTCATGTATCCCAGGGTTAGTACAATATAATTCTTAATATTAATAAAATTATAATATTTAATAAAACACAATATTTAATTATCAATATGTACTTATTACACATAAAACATTATTTGTTCATGACTTTCATACAATTCAATAATAAAATTAACAAAAGCTGTTGTTGTCGTACATTTAGTGTGATTTTTTAAATCAATTAATTGCATCCGTTCAATCTCTTGTATTTCAGGCCCCTACTGCCCCAGCTGCTCAAATCCCGACCCCTGTTCCAGTTCCAACGGTTCCTATTCACGGCCCAGTCTAGATATAAGAAATGAATCTTTGCGCGCAATTTCTAAAAATGCCGCAAACTCATGTAGTATTTGTCGTCTTTAATTACTGAGGGCTAAAATGTTGTGGCATTTATTGTGAAGGGAAATCAGAATTTATCCGATCAAAATAATAATGTGTAAATTGAACTATCATCAATTTTTTTAAAATATCAATAAAATATTAAAATCCTCAAGAATTATTCGTGAAAACAAAAAATTGACCCAAGTATTTGAATAAAAAGCAAAAATCAGATGTCAAATGGCTTAACAAAATTTGAATTTAAATATTTTCAACAAAAAAGAATATGACTTTTTAAAGTTTGAACCAAGTTGAAGAAATTAGCAATACATTTGTTACGAAAGCACCAAATAGTTAACATGAAAGGAGTCTTTGCCACAAACTTTGATTTTATCTTTGCATTTTCAACCCAATGTTGTGGATCTTGATATTTCAAACTATGAATTCTGTTAAAAATAATCCAAGTTTGAAATATCACCGGTTTACAGCATTAGGTTGAAAAGATATACGGGTTAGAATATTTGAGTTTGTGACAACGACTCAAATCCTGTTTAAAGATAATTAGTGTAATGGTCTGCAAGATTATTTGTATCAAATACTAAAAATGAAAATAAAACAAGAATAACAAAAAAACTTTGATTGAAGAATTTTCTATATTATGTATTATTATTAATTTAGTCAAAAAATTACTCAAATCTTTTTTGCAGTTGTAAACCTATAATTACTAGAATATTTTTTGGCAATTTTTTAACCCTAGAAGACCTGGGGGGGGGGGGTATCGTCTATAGAATTCCGAAGCACCGTACTCTGCATGCTCTATGCATTACTTAGAAGATTGAAAACATAAAATATGAATTAGTAATTTGTGCACTATAATGATGGATAAAAACCTCTCCAGAAAATGATAAAGAACTTTCAGAAATGTGGAATTCATTCGATATATTATATGTTTACCCTTGCATTTTCTTATCCAAGCTAAGAATCATTAGCTTTATTAAAAGCCAGAAATTATATTCTGAAGGAAACCTATCATTTGTTCAAAATATTGGGAAAGAAATAATTTTGACAGAACTTAAACTCCGTGTGCGTTAGTTCACAAACCTCTTTTCTGTTTCAGACTTGAAAGTAAAACCATGACATGAAATATATCACTGCTTGTTCAACCTTTCATCATTGATATACAGTATACTGTATCCTGTATAATGTATACTGTATACTGTATACTGTATACTGTATAATGTTTACTGTATAGGTATTATTGTATACTATATACTGTATGCTGTATAGTGTATACTGTATATCGTATAATGTACACTGTATAGTTTATGCTGTATGCTGTATACTATATACTGTATGCTGTATACTGTATACTGTATAATGTATACTGTATAGTTTATGCTGTATACTATATACTGTATAGTGTATACTGTATACTGTATAATGTATACTGTATAATTTATGCTGTATACTGTATACTGTATGCTGTATACTATATACTGTATAATGTATACTGTATAGTTTATGCTGTATAATGTATACTATATACTGTATAATGTATACTGTATAGTTTATGCTGTATAATTTGTAGTGTATATTGTATAATGTATACTGTATAGTTTATACTGTATACTGTATACTTTATGCTGTATACTGTATACTGTATACTGTATGCTGTATGCTGTATACATTATACATTATGCATAAAATAAATCCCTCTATAAAAGTAATGGGAAAAGAAGTATTTGAAAAAATAAGAACATGGGTAAAAGGTCGAAATCAATAATATTTTTTCAAAAAGGTCGCATAAAAAACATTCTATTTCTTTATCAAAAACTTTTTCCCGGATATTGTAAAGAGTCTGAAACTGCTATTGAAGGGAAAGGAAAACAATTCTAAGAAGAAACATATTAACAAAAATAAGTCCATGAAAACAATTTCTTTGCATAGAAATTCCCAAAAATAAACAAGGTGTGATGTACTCTTATAGAACACTGAAAAAACATATTCAAATAGAGGGAATTTTGCTGTTTCACCCAAACCATGTTTATATTTGGATATATTCTCTGCTTGATAGAATGAAATATATTTTAAAAGTTTTTCTAGGAAATTTTCTGTTGACATTTTCCCAAAAGTAAAATTGCTTCCTTGAAAGAAATTGAATTCGACACATTGACCATTAAATTATCTTGAGAATATTTCGGTGAAATATTTTATAAATGAAAATATCTACTGTATAGTGATGTTGAAAATAGGAAAAATGTTTGAATGTTAATATTTGTTAATAAACATCTAAAATCATAAGAAGTTTACAAAATTGAAAAATGTTGAAAATCGATGAAGTAACTTGATTAATTTTCATCTTTCACGCTGCAAATTGATTTGAATTTGGGTATTAAAGTCGGTTAGACTCCATTCAAAATTTTGATTTTCACTTTTAAAAGTGATTTTTTCAATTTACTTTACAATGAAACACGTCCCTAGTCCAACCTTTATCTCTGAAAGAAAGGGTGAAAGGGGGGTAAAAAAAATACGTCGTAAAAATTGCTTTTTTAAAAATTTTTGACAAATAATAACGTAAGACACAAGTTACAAATAGAGTTTGAAAAAAAAGTTTTGGACTATTTTTTGAAACACTGACCAGTCGTTTGGCTGTTCTTTACCGTACTCCATAAATAGCATTATTTGTTGGCAAGCTATGTGTGAAATTATGAAGTGAAGAAGTTTGAGCGCTCTAGTTTAAACCGTTTTTAATGACTTAAAACCCATTTTTGAGGACCATTTATAACTTTGTAGAGAAATGTTTCATCCTTTTTGAAGGTTCCTGGAGGTTCCTGGATGCTTCTGGATGTTTCTGGAAGTCCCTGGAGGTTCCTGGAGGTTATCGAAGGTTCCTGGATGTTCTTGGATTTTCCTGGAGGTTCCTGGATGTTCCTGGAAGTCCCTGGAGATTCTGGTTCTTATTGTTCTTGGATGTTTCTGGAGGGTCCTGGAGGTTCCTGAGGGTTCCTGGAGGTTCCTGAAGGTTCCTGGAGTTTTCTGGAGGATTCTGTAGGTTCTTGGAGGTTCCTTAAGATTCCTGGAAGTCCTTGGAGGTTCCTGGAGGTTCTTGGAGGTTCCTGTATAATCAGCGACGCCGTTTTCAGATTTCACTACTCATTGCAACCTTACTAAACAATCTTGGCATAAATAAACTAAACCAACAGAGACTCGTAAATTCTTGTAAGTTGTAATGGTTTGGATTTGGCACAGATTATTCTTGTGTAAATTTAAAATTCTAGTCCTCAATTTACACCTTATAATCAATATTTAAACTGCCATCCTAGAAGAAGAAAGTAGAGATGCTTTGAAAGGAAGATTAATGTTCCCAAACAATGCTTTACTCCCAACTACTAGTTTTTGTAATCAAATGACCGCCATCTTGTTTTTGCAGGTAAATGTCCAGCTGATAAATATGGTGAAAACTTCATTTTTGTTCTTTTACCAGCACTATAAAATATACAGTAGGCCTGTGCATTGTACGTACAAGTCAACAATTTGTTATGTATTCCTAATGTGGAAAGTTATATTTTTTTTTACATGTGTTTACATGTCACCTGGCTCCGTCTGTATCAATTGACCAGAACTTTCATCAATGGCCGTTCAGTATCTAGACATGTTACGTCCTTATTACGTTTATATGAATTTTTGTATAAATTAGACAGAGAGACAGATAAAACTAATATTGGTCGCAATCAGCTCCTAAGGCTTCAGTCTATACCCCCTTTCATTTTACCTTAACAGTCTCTTTAAAGTCTTTGAAAATCTTGTCCCAGGGCCAACAAGACTTTGACTGTTCACGGTTGATGATTTGAACCTGCAAAGTCGACAATTTACATGGCCAGGTTACACAGTGAACTTAGAATTAATAGTTTGAAATATCAAAGGTCTAGGAAAACGGGTTGCAAAGTTATAGGAATTAGAAAATCAGAGTTTGTGGCTAAAACTCAATTCCTTACCGAATTTTCCATGTTTCTGAGCACCGCTGACACTTAATAAAAAAATCCGAACAAAATCTATTTTCTCTGCTTTTTCAAATGCAAAGATTCAACTCTCTCTCAAAAAGTTTTCTTTTCATTTGTCAAAGTCGTGTTTCTGATTTGAGCTTGTGGCAAAGATTCATCACTTTTAGTAGAAATCTAATGAACAATTAAGAACTTGTTTTAATATAATAATTACATTTAATATGAATAAAGTAGAGATGTAAACTTTGTGAAAAACGTTCAACGAAATATTAGTTGGTATATATTGATTTTTGACACATATACTAATTTATCATTTTTAAGTTTACTAATTGTATAGGATATTGGACATTTTTTACAAAAATTCAAAGATAATCTAATAGTTATTTTTCAAAGGTTTTTCCTTTTCTAAAAATTAAGACTAGAGAAAGTTTATTGTTAATAAAATTCTAAAACTTGTTAAACATGAAGGAAGAATACAACTGTTTAGGGAACTGAAGTTAAAACCTTTACGTTCATTGACTCTATTTGATTTTTCTTATGAAATAATAAAAAGAATTATCAAAACATTTTGATCTGTAAATTTAGATCTCTTTGTTAGGACCTATATATTTTAGGATCTCTTCAATAGGATCTCTTTTTTAGGATCCTTTTGTTAGGATCTTTTTGTTAGGATCTCTTTGTTAGGACCTATATGTTAGGACCTCTTTAAAAGGATAACTTTAATAGGATCTCTTTAATAGGATCTCTTTAATAGGATCTCTTTAATAGGATCTCTTTGTTAGGATCCTTTTGTTAGGATCTTTTTGTTAGGATCTTTTTGTTAGGATCTCTATATTAGGATTGTAATAAATGAAGAGGCCCATAGTAAATCTATATAAATGTGCTCATTAGTAGATACGTAAATCATGGATTGCGTGTTCGAGAAGGGAGTAGGGGATTTACTACAGGATCTCTATATTAGGATCACTATATTAGGATCTCTATGTAAGGATTTCTATATTTAAATATCTCTAAATTTAAATCTCTATATTTAAATCGCTATGTTTAAATCTGTATATCTAAATTTTTATATATAAATCTCTGCATTTAAATTTTTATATTTAAATCTTAAATAACATAACATTATTGCGACATTTACTGATAATGTTTTTATTAAACCACAGCTCGTAT